GGGGGTGATGGGGGGGGAGAGGGGGGGGGCGCAGGGGGTGCCCACCCCGCCGCGCCTGATGCAGGTCATCGCCATGTCCAAGCAGCAGAGCATCGTCTCCGTCACCCCCAAGCACTCGGAGACCTCCTCCTCCTCCACCAGCTCCGACTCCTCCCAGTACCGCTCACCCTCCGAGCGGGACAGCTCCAGCATCATCACCATCGACGCCCACGCCCCCCACCACCCCGTCGTCCACCTCTCTGCCGGCAACGGGCCCTGGGAGTGGAAGTCGGGGCCGAAGGGGCCGGAGGTGCCAGACGCCTACGAGCTGAGCGAGATGGGGAAGGATTTCCGCGGCTTCCGCCCGGCCAAGAGCGCCGGCATCTCCCCTGGCTCCTCCGTCAGCGACATGGAGCAGGACGAGCCACGCTACGGCAGCCTGGCCGCCATCCCGGGGGCGGCGGTGGGCAGCGGGGAGCGGGGGGACGACGCCACCACCGAGGGGCTGCTGGGCACGGCCAGCCGGGAGTCCACGCTGCGGAGGAAGCCGGCTGAGAGGGATGGGCAGGTGGACAGCGAGGTGGACCACTACTACAAGAAAATGCAAGCCAGCCGGAGGTTTAAGGACTGAGGCCCTGTTGCCTTCCCCGCGCCTGGACCCCCGCTCCCCTGCCCCGGCTCAGGCGGGCTCCATAACGCTGGGGTCCCTCTTTGCTGGGGGGCATCAAGACAGGGCTGTTTTTGGCATCGGGGTGACCAAGCGGCGCGAGGACATGGCAGAGCACAGTCACGCCGGATGCTGAGCCAGCCGAGACGTGTGCGGGACCCTCCGATGTGGGACCCCGCTCCCGCCCGGGCAGCTGGGAGGGCTCGGGGCTCTGCCCCCGGCCTGCGGGGCTGCGTGGCTCCAAGCACTTTTGACTTTCTTTTTCTCTCTAACACAGGTGCTGACATTTCTGAGGGGTAATTTATTCTGGCTCTGGAAGTGTACGGGGGGGCAGTTGGGGATTAAATGGTGCTGAAGGGCTTTGGGGGG